CCCTTGGCACACAGGACTGTTTCATCACGGGGCTCTTAAGGCCACTTCTTCCTGCAGAGCCCCTTCTCCTGGTGAGTGAGAGGCCCGCAGACTGCCAGCGCCCTTGCTTCTCATTCAGGACTGTGCAGGACCCGGGCACAAAGGGACTCTTGTGGAAACCGTCCTGCAAATGTTACTCGAAATTGTTTGCATGTCTAAAATCCTCTCAGACTCAATCAAGTGTAACCTTTCCATCAGGGTCCTTAACTGGCCGCCCCCTAGCTGACTCCCTACAGAGACACACAACACCAAACCCGGATGGACTGCCATTGAGGTGATTCTGACTCATACCAGTATATCCACCCCTTGAATTTGAATGTGAGCCTCCCACTCCCTTTTGATCAGCGCCTGGCTCCGTTCAAGGAGCCCCTGGGTGGACTCCGCAGTCTCAGAGCCTTCCTGCAAGGTTCGAGGACAAGCTCACTCAGAGGTGCCTAAGACCTGATGATCTACTTCCCCAAACCCAGCCACTGGCCACCCTCCGGAGCACAGGGCTACTCTGACCCGGGGCCACTGACCATTGGCATCGGTGCCACATGCGCTGGTGCTTGTTTGGACCTTGTTCGGGTCGGGTTCTCCATTCTGCACATGGGCCTGGAAGACCTCCGCTCTTGTTTTAAACACGCTTCTAGTTTCTCAACAAAGGAGCAGGCCTGGCTTCGTCCCCACCACCTAACTTCACTAGGTGATGTTTCTGAGGTCTTTAGAAGAACTGTAGCCATCCCCACTGATGACTACCAAGAAGCTGTGCACGAGGCCTGAAGGAATGAATGCATTGGGGTCTGCCAGCTCTCGGGCTAAGCAGGGACATGTTGTTGTTTAACTTGCGGCCCACAAGCAAGAACCATATTTATATCTTCCTGATATGTTGCTTCTTGGAAAACCCGGGTGGGGGCAACAAAAACCACTTGTAATGAAATCATTGCAGATCTCAGTTTAGCCAAGGTGTACTGGTTTCCATTCCCAGGTGGGATCTTCAGGGCTTCCGGCCAGGCCTGCACCCTCGGGTGGGTGCAATGGTTCGGCCTGCCTTTGCAGATGAATTCAGGGGTGGCTTGTAACAACCGTGTCCATTTGTTTGGCAGGGGGGAGCCATTGCCATCCTTTCCGCCGCAGACAGGCCCGGCTACTTCTCCGGCATGGTTCTCATCTCGCCCTTGGTTCTCGCGAATCCGGAGTCAGCAACAACTTTCAAGGTAAGAGGGCTTCTGCTTCCCCGGGACTGCAGCCCCGGCCAGGATCTGGGCTAAAGGGCCCGCATCTGTGCTTTGACTGCAGGTGCTATTGTGGTCAGATCGGGACTGAATCAAACGTTGTTGCCACCGGAATTCAGTCACTTCTGAAGTCGGATGGCTTTGCTTCTTTTGTTTCTGTTTTCTTCCCCCAAAACAAGAAAAAAACATTTCCTGTTTGTGTCTGCTTTATGGGTGAATGTTAAAAGGTAAAACAAAACAAAACGGTTATCCATGTGTTATGAATCCTGCAAAGTACTCTGTTGTTAACAAGTCAGATGTTAACAAAGCTTAAGACGGTTGTCCTGGAATACTGCCAACAGGAGCAAACAATGGCCCGTAATAGTAACAAAGCGCCCTTGAGCACTCTCACCTCTAAACCTGGCTGCTGTAGCACTTCCTTTCTCTGGCATGACCGCGCGTTTGAGCGGAACATTCTTTCCTTGCTGGGCCTTTCAAGGAACAAAAGCATCAAGCCCAGTGAGCTGACAAACCACTGGAAATAGAGCCAGCGCCTTCGCTCCCTGGAAAGGAGCTGAAACGAGCCACCTCAGCCAGGCCCACGGCAGGGACAACGTGGGTCAGTGGCATGTTGAGATGACCAGGGCAGTGGAGAATACCGACCTCTGTGTCCCCAGGGGGTGCCCATCCTCACCCACGCAGTGGGCTGGAGGGTTAGACTGAGGGTGCTGCCCCAAGCCTGTTCTCAGGGCTCTCAGGGAGAGCCGATGCTTGGCGGGGGTGGTAGTCGCGACACCACGTGCATGGAGTCGCATCCACTCCGGACGGAGGACACCGTGACTTGCCCTGGCCGTGCCTCCCCCGACAGTAGGATCGTCATTCCTGGCGTGAACTCCTTCCCAGCCTTTCTTAACAGTCGTCGGGCCTTTGCATGCCTGTGAGGAGGCTGAAAATGTCATGGCTGGGGTTAGGGCCATGGTTCTCAACCTGTGGGTCGAAACCCCTTTGAGAGTAGAATGACCCTTTCACAGGGGTCGCCTGGTCTATAACAGTAGCAAACTGACAGGGATGAAGTAGCAACGAAAATAATTTTGTGGTTGGGGGGTCCCCACCACATGAGGAACTGTCTAAGAAGGTCGAGGGGTACCTTAGTCCTCCACATGACGTCTTTGCTCCTGAGCACTTGGAAGCGGGCTCCTGCATCAGATTTGCCCAATGCACTGTATCCTTTGGTTCTGGGCGGCTGCTCCCATGAGCCTGGACTGTGGATCTAAGTCAGATAATGGGGTGATATGGGGTGGGGAGGGGCTGACGAAAGAGAACCCTGGATTTGCCAGGATTTGGCTCTCCGGTAGTTTAAGCAGGAGCAGTTGCTGATCTAGCGGGTCAAAGAAGACACAGAGAGAATAGTGTCGTTGAACTTTACTTCCTGCTAAGGAATGACCACTGGCTTCCTGAGTCACTGGTTAACTTCAGTGCTGGGCATAGGACAGTCCTAAAGGCCTCTGCCCCCTGTCCCTGCCGGGGAAGAATGAGGGCCCACCCGTCAAAAAGAATACTCGTCTAAATGGGTCAGGGGAAAGTGGCCTGGCTGACCTTTCCCCTAAGGACTTGGATCGGTTAAGGTCACTTCTCACCTGAGCATAATGAGAGTGAGCAACACCTGAAAGGAGAGGGGTGTCAGCCCTGGGCTCCTCTGTTCATTTGTGTCCGGCAGCCCCCACTCTCTCCCAAGCTGACCTGACTCCCAGGGTTGCTCAAGGAACGGGCCCACCATCTTACAGATGGAAAACTGAGGCTTCAAAGGTTGAGTGACTTGACAGGGTCTCCTGACTTGTGGAGTGGGCTTCCCCTCACCATCCAGGATACCTTCTTCTAGAATAAGATCTGGGGCCCCGCGGGGGGAGGGAGAGCAGCGAGGCCTATAGCCAGGGCGACAGGGTTCCCTCCTGGGGTCTGCAGTGGCTCCTGTGCTGAGCGCTGAACCCTGAGTGCGGCCGGCCACCAGGGCAACCTTTCAGAACTTGATGCTAATAGATCACTTTGTCAAATCAGGAACCAGCCGTCCCTGCAGAAATGCTGGTCTGCCCTTATGAACCAAGACAAATTAGAGACCCTTTGCCCCAAGATTTTGAAAACCCATCCTCCCCACCTGACATCTGCTGCTTCCCATGAACTCAGCAGTTCTGACTGACGGAGACCGTGATCCGTTAGTTTCCCCTGTCCACAATGACCTGATCAGCCTCCACGTACTTTCTAGTCTTGTCTGCCAGCCTGCCTTCCGTGAAACAGCTGGTAGGTTCAAACAACTGGCCTTGCAGGTAGCCGACCAGCCTATAACCCACGCTGCCTGCAAGGTCTCATACCATAGGAAAGACAAGTTCAAAAAGGATCAGGGACTTAAGACGTGCAAACTAAAACCATGGAGTGCTTAGAAGAACAAGCAAAGGCAAGCTTGTCAGGCCTGGCTTTTAGCTGTGAATTATCTAGCATAATCAGAACAGCAACAGACACCGTAAATAAATGGCACTTCATAAAAATCAAAGCCATTTATCCATCAAAAGGTTTTACCGAAAAAATATGAAAACACAAGCTATTGACGGCGAGATTATCTTCAGAAACTTTACACCCAATGAGAATCGAATAACCAGAAGTTACATCTGTAACTTCAACAGCTTGCTTTAAAAAGACAAATAGCCCGATCCTAAAATGAGCAAACGGCTCCAGTAGACATTTTGCCAAAGTCCTTTGGCAGATGACCACCAAACCCAGGAAAAGACGCTCAGCATACGTTGTCATCAGAACCACAGGGAGACACCATTTCACTCTCACTAGGGTAGCTAAGATTTTAAAAATAATCATAACAGGAATAAAAGCTGTGGGTAACACACACTGGTGAGGAGCGGGGGAGATGCAGACCTTCACCATTGCTGATGGGAGTACACCATGGTGCAGCCATTGTGGAAAAGTGTCCTGAGCAGTTCCGCTACGGACTAAAGTGAGGATTATCATGTAACCCACCCAGCAACTCCACGACTAAGTATATCCCCGGACGACTTGAAGGCAGACTTGTACACCAGTGTTCCTTGCAGCACTGTTCACAATAAAGTGGAAGCACCCTAAATGCCCCTCACCAGATGGATGGATCAGCAAAATGGGATGCATGTGTACACTGGTTCGAATGCTGCTCAGCCAGAAGGAGAAACCAAGCCTTAAGACGTGCTGTAGTACAGACAGAGCTCCAAGAGGGGAGGGGGGAGGGGGCACATGCTTTTGCAAGGACCGTTGGGCTATGTGTTCAAGGTGGTGGAAATATTGCATCAATGAAGGACAGGGCTGCACGGCTGATTATTGTAATTGCTGTGCACCTGTAAAGAGGGCAATTGGCCCAAACTGTGCGATGGCTACCCGGCAACCGCAGCAAGAGTGACTGCGGAGGCCACTTGTATATAACGAAACACCTCACAAGATTTGGGTTCCTGCGTTGACGGTTCAGGGTCATGGTCGCAGGGGACATCCCAGTTCTTTGGACAAATAACATGTCTAGTGCTTCCGTTCCACCTCCTCATCTGTTGTGTTAGTGCCTGAGGTCTAGCAAACTTGCAGATCGCCCATCGGTGCAACAGCTGTTTCCCATTCCCCTGGGGCACCAGAGGAACAAAGAGCCGGGTATAAAAAGAGGACAAGGAATGTGTAAGGGTTCCTAGTGGCACCAGGGGTTAAGCATTTGGGCTACAACTGCTCGATGGGAAAAAGATATGGTCCTCTGATCTTTTTGTTTTTGTTTTATCATTTTATTGGGGGCTCTTACAGCTCTTATCACCAGCCATACATCAGTTGTACCTATGTTGCCATCATCGTTTTCAAAACGTTTTCTTACTACTTGAGCCCTTGGTATCAGCTCTTCATTTATTTTTTCCTTCCTACCTCATGAACCCATGATCATTTATAAGTTTTTTTTTCATGTCTTACACCAACCACTGCCTCCCTTCACCCACTTTTCTGTTGTCCATCCCCCTGGGAGTGGGGGGAGGTTAAAGAAAATTGAGAGCTTTGGAAAACCAATGGATGAATAGGACTCTCTCCTACAGGGTCTCTCTGAGTCAGAACCCACCTGACAGCGGCGGGTTGGTGTAGGTTGTTTAATGGGAAGTGTGGCTAATTGTCTCCATGAGCCTCCCACCCAGTCAGAAGAAGAGGATGGTGGCCTGCCACCATGTCTGAACCTTTCGAGCAGAGATTCTGTAGAAGTACCCACATCCAAAGGGGGGCATGCAGAACACATCGTTAGATCTTCACGGACGCCAGACTTCCTGGAGCCATGAAGCTTTAATGAACTTCTGAAACTGTTGCCCTAAGACACCTTTAAACCATGAACTTAAAAAAAAAAAGTCCCCTGAAGTCTTCTTAATACCAAACCACAGTTTAGCTGAAATGTTTTGTTCAAAAAAGGGGAAAAAAAACTGCCTTAAGCATGAAGCTCTTTTATCAACTACCTGTGTGGGATCATTTGAACAACAGACAGATGAAATATTAGCCAGGTGTCTTGGCAGGCAGTGTGTTTATGTTGGTCGGGGGAGAACACCTCAGGGAAGAGGGGTGAGAAAGAGTGCACAACCTGAGGAAGGCAGCCACTGTCACCACGTGGTTGTGGGTGGCAGCTGCTGGGCGGGTGCGTGTTTGGCCCTGTGTATGCTCCAGTGCACATGAGTGAGGGAAGCAAGGAGCGGGGAAGGAGGGTGTCCGGTGGTTGATGGTGAGGTCCTCTCATGGAGGTGAGCTCAGCGGTTCGTGTGCCAGCGATGGCAGGGCTTGAGTCCGTGCCCTGGCACAGAGGAGAAACCCGTGGCTGCCCTGCTGGAAGAGAGTCAGCCCCAGGCTCCCCACATGTGCTTTCCCAGGGATAAAACACAGGGGAGGGCCAGAGGGTCCCAGAGCCCCATCTTTCTCCAGGAGCTCCATGGCAGGGGAGCTGAGACAGGTAAAGAGGGAGGGGAGGTGGG